CGGCTGCCCGGTCCCCCCCCGCCCCCCCCCGCCCCAGCCCCTCCGGCCGGGGACCCGCACTGCCCGGCCCCGTCCCTCAGAACGTGCCGGGGGGGGGTCGGTTTCGACCGCGCTATAACTGAGCTCTCCTTGTTCCTGTGCTCGCAGATCTGACCTCCTTATTAACTACCAGCCGTCAAACTGGGGTTCATCTCCCCAACTTGCAGCCTTCCGCCGGCCAGTTCTTCGCGTCTCTAGACCCCATTAACGAGGCCTCTGCTATTCTGGGTCCCTTAAACACAAACCCAAGGAGCTCAGTTCAGCACCAGTTCCAAGACACATTTCCAGGTACATCTCCCTCCCTCGTCGACCCTCCCGCGGCGCAGTGCCCTCCGTCCCAGGAGCAGGGCCCCTGTCGGAGGGGCTCGCCAGGCTCTTTGGAAAGGCCAGGGACGCACGTTTTTCTAGCTAGGCGAAATTTTGGGCGAGTAGACGGGCTGCGTGTGGGGGGAGGAAGAAGAGCCATCCCATCTCGTACAAAACAATACCTGAGCCGAGAGAGAAGGGGCGGGGAGGTGGGAAAGGAAGAAATTCGGGTGCAGACCCGCTCTGTCCTTGCCCGAGGAAGCACAGGCTGTCAGGAGCTGCCAGCCGGCAGGCAGGGCCAGGCGGGCCCCGGCCTTCACCGCACCCCGCACTTCGGCTGCTATATTGATCCATTTAGGGCTCTCTTTCAGGCATCGATGTTAATAACGCCCTTTCCCTCTCTCTCCCTCCGTTTTTTTCTCCCCCCCCTCCCCGCCAGGTCCGTACGCAGTTTTAACCAAGGACACGCTCCCCCAGACATACAAGAGGAAACGCTCCTGGTCCAGGGCTGTTTTTTCCAACCTGCAGAGAAAAGGTTTAGAAAAACGGTTCGAAATCCAGAAATATGTGACCAAACCGGACAGAAAGCAACTGGCGGCGATGCTGGGGCTGACAGATGCTCAAGTAAGAACGGGCTTTGGTTTTCTTTCAAATCTCACTTCCAGTTTAGAGGGATACCGAGGTTGACGGGGAGGTGGTGATTTGCGAAGCGTTTTCCCTTCCTTAATCTTTGGAAGGGCTGGCTGAGGAGCAAGACCTCGCCCCGAGAATCTCGGGCGCGCAGGTTCCGCAGCTTCGCTGCCTGGCGCGGAGCTTTCCGCCTTTGTTTTGGCTGCCGCGGAGCAGGCCGAGGGGAGAGAGGACAGCGGGCCCGAGGCAGATGCGCTTCATTTAACTGCAGTTCTCTGTACGAGGAGGTTTAAGTCAAAGGAAGTGGAAGCGAACACCTTATGTTTAATACACCCCCCCCCCCCCTTTTTTTTTTTTTTTTTTTTTTTTTTTTTTTTTATTTTTTTTTTTTTTTTTTTTTTTTTTTTTTTTTTTTTTTTTTTTTTTTTTAAACTCTTCTTCAAACGGAATCATTAAACGTCACTGTGTAATGATTCCACTATTGAGGGCCCGCAGCGCACAGAATTGTAAAACGCCGTGGTTTCTTGAGCAATGTTTGGTTTCCTGGCAGAAAAAAGAGAGAGAGAGAGAGAAAAAAAACCAACAAACAAAATGCCCGGGGCGGGGGG